TTTTTTTTTTTTTTCTGTGTGCCATTTTTATTTTTTCCTTTTTTCTTTTCCCTTTTGAATCTGTTAACTTTGATCCCCAGGAACAACCCTGTGAGAAATATAGGGCACCCCATGTGAATGCTGATGGTGGTTTTCTCTCTTAGGTCTCTGCCGATAAGCTGGTGGCCCTGGGACTATTTAGCCAGCACTTTAACCTGGCGACTTTCAATAAGCTGGTCTCTTACAGGAAGGCCATGTACCACGCTCTGGAGGTAACACGGTGGTGGGTGACGAGGGCCTGGCCCCTGGAGCAGGGTTAAGGCAAGAGACATACAGAAAGCCAGCTCTGGCCAGTGTCGCCAACGAGGGCTTGGAGGGGACAGGTTGACCAGGCATGAGGTGAATGCAGATATGTTGGCCTGACGGGCCAGACTGGGAAGGGAAAGAAGGGGTTTGAGACTTCCCTGCGACTTCTAGTACTACCTCAGTTTCTACCTGGTGGCTGTCGGTATTGCTGACTGAATGAGGAAGGAGGAACACTAGGAAGCGGGGGACAAGATTCACATCAATGAATGGCTGTCAAAACCTCCTTCCTTTAAGTGGCGTGGTTCAAGGCCAGGACTGGGCAGCAGCTGAGCCCAGCTGCCTTCTCCCCTTTTCCGTGGGATCCATCAGCCTCTGTCCTTCCCTCTACCTTGGGGGTGAACTGAAAATATCAGTGATCTTTTCCAGCATTTATGAGCCAGCCCCTGTGCTTAATTAGATATGTAAATCCTCATGGTATTTCTGAAATAGACCTTAACACTCGACACCACCTCATCTTCATTGGGGAATAAAACAAGAAGAGATCTGGAGCTTTTTCAGAGGTGATACTTCTACAGCTAAAAGTAGCAGAGCTAATTGTGATCCGCTGCCCCTTGAGAAGGAGCTGTCCACTCAAGTTCTCTACGGGGAAGAGGTCATAGTTGGTGTCTTCATGGAAAGACTTCACTCGTCCCCTCAGGCTTCCTGCCTGTCTCCCTGCACAGGCTGTTCCTCCGTGTCACATACCACAGCCCAGGACAGCTGCCTGGCCATGAAAGGGCCCAGTGTGAAGGGGACTGCAGGGCCCAGCTGGGGGGAATCTCTGGGTGTGGCCTGCTGAGCACCCACCCCTCCTGCTGATCACAGACTTGCCTTTATCTTGCCAGAGAGCCAGGGTGCGGGCTGGCAAGACCTTCCCCAGCAGCCCCGGAGACTCATTGGAGGACCAGCTGAAGCCCATGTTGGAGTGGGCCCATGGGGGCTTCAAGCCTACTGGGATTGAGGGCCTCAAACCCAACAACAAGCAACCAGGTGGGAATGGGTTCCTGTGGCGGTACCAACTGCCACTGCTGGTGGGAGCACCCTTGGGAGATGCAGCCACCCCTGTGCCCCTCCCCTTACCCCAGCTTTCTGGCATCCAGTTAGTCCTGGAGACCCACTTTTTCACCCTGTGAACCCCTAGGGCTATGGGAACACAGACCGCCCAGGCTTTTCCAGCTTCCCTGGTCACTTGCCTGCTAAAGGTCAAGTACATATAATTTGGGATTGATTCTGTTTTGAACACCTGAGTAAACAGGAAATCAAGACCGAATCTTCACTAGCACCCTTTCTTTTAAAAAGGAAAGAATAATTAAGCCCTCTGCTCATTGGAGAAAAGTTGGAAAGTGTTTTAAAACAAAAATTCAAAAACTAGAACCCACCTCCATTCGGAAAGGGACATCACCCATCCCAACATTTCGATCAATACCATATTTCCTCCATTATAAGATATGTGTAGTTTAAGATTGTCACTTTTCAGAAATCTGGGATGCCTGAAATCCAGGCTTTGTCTTCTAATTCATACCTTTAACATAGTGTTTTCTGTTTTGTTTTGTTCCCCTTGCCAAAAAAAGTGGTTAATAAGTCGAAGTTGCGTCGTGCAGGCAGTAGGAACTTAGAATCAAGGAAATACGGTATTCCCTTCCCATCTTTTGACTATGCACAGTTTTCTCTGCACTTTCTTTCAATTTCTTGGCATACATAGTAGTCACTGGAAAAGAAATCTCAACCTGAACTGTCACCCACCCCTTCACTCTGAGCCCTCACAAGCCCTCCATCCAGGTTCACCTTGTTGGGTGTGCACATCTTTTCATTTTTTTCTGTACACTAGAGGGATTCCTGCTTTCCCTTTATTTCTCACTATTAAATTATATAAGCACTGTCAAATGTCATTTTGTCACTAAGTTGTCCTTATGAGTTTTAATGGCTGCATAATTTTCTTTTCTAGGGGCAGAGTCGAATTTAACCATGTCCCTTACAGATTGGACTGAAAATATAAGTGGAATTTATAGACATAAGCAATAGCCACATAATATAAGTTTTCTAGTAGCCACATTGAAAAGAATAAAAGAAACAAGTACCATTACTATTAGTCATACATTTAATTTAATCCCATATTTTCAACATTGAAGCATTTCCAACAGTCAGTATAAAAAATTAAGATATCTTACATTTCCTTTTAGTACTGTTCTCAAAATCTCATATTCTGTGTGTCTTGCAGCATCTCAATTAGGACACTAAATTTTCCCTGGTAGCACTTAATCTGTGTTTTCACAAGTGTCTAAGATCCAAATTGTCACTTGAGCGAGTTCTAAAGGAAGTTGTTAACTGGATCAATTAGCAATTTTTACATTTATATTAAAACTAGATGTAAAATGCAGCTCCTTAGTCGCACAAGTCACATTTTAAGTGCTCATTGGCTACATGTGGCTATCAGCTACTATGTTGGGCATTGTAGACAGATGTTTAATGCCTTTGTCTAATGTTATTTGTCCTGGGTCTAAACGCCTAAAGCTGTTTAAAACCCTATACGCATGTATTAGATATGTGAGGGGTTTTGAATTATGTCTCATCGTGGGGCCTTATGACCCCACTATGGACCCATGTCGTGGCCCAGATGCAGCTGGCACCCAGGCAGGCATAGCAGAGTCCTGTCCGAGCCCCATGTTTTCCCTGCACCATCCCCTACTAGCCAAAGCTGCCATCTCATCTCCTCCCCTTTCACAGAGAGTAAGACTCGAAGACGCACAGCTGATGACTCGACCACCTCCGCTGACTACTGCCCCCCACCCAAGCGCCTCAAGACAAATTGCTATAACAACGGCAAAGACCGAGGAGAGGAGGACCAGAGTCGAGGTGATTGTGAGGGATCAGGAGGCTGGGGGACCATTATCACCCATTAGCAGGAGTGGACAGGTAGTGAAGGGCCACAGGGCAAGCGGGTATGGCTTAGTCGAAAGCACTAAGAGGCTCCTGGACCCCATCTCACACCTTCTCGTCTCTCAACAGAGCAAATGGCTTTGGATGTTACCAACAACAAGAGTACTCTGGAAGGTAATGCTCTCTCCTTTTGCAGTCCTCACTTCCTGTTCTGGGGACTTCTCCAGGCCTTTACTGTTTGTCCTCCCTGCTGAGGTTTCACCCAGGGCCTTGACCTTGGGTGGAAGTGTAGACATCATCATAGTTACATTTTATAGAATGAGTTGCCTGAATATTATGGAGACAGATTCTGCCTCCAATCTAAGTGAGCCAGGAAGGCTGGGTGTGGGTTAGAGTGGAAGCCGGGGCCCTTTGGCCAGGAGAACCCAAAACCTGAAACCATGATCTGTGGCGTCATGAGCCTTCCAAAACAAGAACTGGAACTGGCTTTGAGGTAAAAAGCAGGCACACTTTGCCACTGTCACTCAACCTAACTTTGGTTCGTTTGCCCTGGTTCGGAATTCCTCCTGGAATCTAAACTCTGCCCAGAACCTATCTAATGGAACTCAGAGTGTGTGAGGAAGGATTGACGTCCTTGCTTCCTCACCTGATATCCTTGAGTCAACAAATACTTATTGAGCCGTTATTCCGTGCTGGATAGGAAAATGACCTAGCTCCTGACGCAGAGAGCCCTGGGGAAAGCTTCGGTTTGGAGGCAGCCCCTGATGATCCTGGGAGGCTCGACCCATAATCCTCCCATCCCCCAAGATTCTTTCACTCATCTGTCTGCTTCCTGGCTGAGAATAGCATTTATTTTAAGGCCCTGCCCACCGGTCAGTGGTGTGAATCAGTCCTGACCTAGTGATCTGATGTGAAGTCAGGGTACCCTGATAGTTAAAAGGCTTGGGTTCTGAAATTGCAGCCATGGCTATGTGTAGAGTGTGGTCATGGGCAAGTCCTTTCAGGATGTGACAGTAAGCAAATTGGTGTCACACGAATTCTCCGAAAGTCCTAGTCTTTAAAGAGTCTCAAAGGTGTTCATATCAGGCCCTCCAAGCCTGTCCCTGTGCTGGAGGGGCCCTTGCTCAGTGTTGTGCCTAGAATTGGGATGGCAATTTGGAAGCACTGTTGAAAGGAACAAAGCATGAAGAATCTGGCACCTTGCTAGCGTGGAGTAAATGTTCAAGAACCGTTAGACCCAGGGTTTCGACAGCTGATATGGGGCTGTAATTGCTACAAGCTGTGTCCATGTGTTTCTTACAGACAGCTGTTTGTCCTGTGGTAGGAAAAACACTGTGTCCTTCCACCCTCTCTTTGAGGGTGGGCTCTGCCAGACGTGCCGGGTAAGTCCTACCCCTACCCTGGACTTCCCTGTTCCTTCCCTCCACAACTTGCCTGTACTTCCCAGAGAAAAGCACCTGCATGTAGGCACAAAGGAAGGTTCTAGTGAAGCCCTCCCTGGCCCCAGTCGGCCCACGCTCCATCCCGAGGGCCGATGCTACAACAGAGGTGGCCATCTGCAGTGGCTCGTAGACCCTGGCCAGTTATCCCTGTGAAGGATACCAAGCCTCTCGTGACCTGTTCTGTGGCTGTATCCTCTGACTCTAGCCAGCGAGCAAGTGGGGTCTGGTGGTCCCTGGTCTCCGGTTTCACGGGTGTCTCTCTCTGGCTGCCAGGACCGGTTCCTCGAGCTGTTCTACATGTATGACGATGACGGCTATCAGTCCTACTGCACCGTGTGCTGTGAGGGCCGTGAGCTGCTGCTGTGCAGCAACACAAGCTGCTGCCGGTGAGCATTGGGCTTCCGGCAGAGACCCAGATGCCCCCTGCGTCTCACAAGTCGTGCCTGTGATTCCTAGGGCCCAAAGAATCTCAGGCACTGGGACTTGAGCCCAGTTATAGTTAACCTGGGGACAGGGCCCAGAGTCAGTACTCTTGAGGGCTTGTGGTTCTCATGTCCTTGAGGTAGAACAGGGATGTAAGGATGGGCTTAGGACAGGAATATCTGAGGTCGGGGAGTGGTGTAGGGAAGGCTACCTGGAGATGGGCGACTTCCGGGCGTGGGGAGCAGAGCCTGTGGACTCAGTATGCACAGATATCCAAGGAAGAGGTTAGTGTAGCCCACATCACACTGCAGGGCACTTTCCAGACCATGGAAAGGAGCGTCTGGGGCCCTGAGAAGGCTTTAGGCAGTGTGTTGCCATCTTCCTGGGGAAGCGGGGGATTCAGGCGAGCGGCATGGTGACTAAGGCTCTCTCTTCACTCCCGGTGCAGGTGCTTCTGTGTGGAGTGTCTGGAGGTGCTGGTGGGCACGGGCACAGCAGCAGATGCCAAGCTGCAGGAGCCCTGGAGCTGCTACATGTGTCTCCCGCAGCGCTGTCACGGCGTCCTGCGGCGCCGGAAGGACTGGAATGTCCGCCTGCAGGCTTTCTTCACCAGCGACACGGGGCTTGAATACGTAAGCCACAGGCTCCTTTGCCCAGCATCACCCACCCCAGAGCTCTGGGAATTTCTTGGCCAGAGTTCATGGAAAGATCCATAATACAAACGAGGGACTGAGCGCCTCAGACTTGAGAGACCTGCTCACTGACATGTCCCATGGATAGTCCTCAGGCTTCTCCAGTGGTCTTTTTTCCTCCCCTCCTTGGCTTATGATGGATTTTCAAGGGCCTGATGAAGAAATGGTTATAGATGTAACCAAGCCTTCTGAGGTAAAAGAGGGAAAAAGGAAGCCTGTGACTTACTTTTAAATTCTTTTTATTATTATTATTTTTTAAATTTATTTTTTGTTGGGAAACAGTGTGTTTTTCCAGGGCCCATCAGCCCTAAGTCAAGTAGTTGTTTTCAATCTAGATGTGGAAGGCACAGCTCAGCGGTCCATGTGGGGATTGAACCAGCAACCTTGGTGTTGTGAGCACTGCGTTCCAACCACCTGAACTAACCGGCTGCCCCTACCCTTAAATTTTAGTAGGAGTGGATTTTCCTGGGCTCCATTCTAGAGATCTCTGAGGGAGGCCCCAGGTCATTCCCGTGTAGGGCGATGGGTCTTTTTGTGTGTGTGCATCTGTCTCAAAGTCTCATCTGTGTTCCATGTCTAAGGGTAGAATGGCAAGCTGAGGTGATCCCAGCTGAGAAATGGCAGAGCTCAGGGTTTGAGTCCCTCAGGAAGGTCAGCCTGCCCCTCCCCCCAGAGGTTGAGTCTTCCCCTTCCTTGTGCCTTGACCTTCATGACTTCCATGATTTCTATGACCTTTAACCTGCCAGGAAGCCCCCAAGTTATACCCTGCGATTCCTGCAGCCCGAAGGCGACCTATTCGAGTCTTGTCCCTGTTTGATGGAATTGCCACAGGTGAGTTTGGAGGTCACCTTGGGATGCTCACCTGGTCCAGGTGTCTGTTCTCAATGCCAAACAAGACCCCTGTCTGTCACCTGTTCTGAGAAAACCACTGGCTTCTTGTTTCTCACCTCAAAACTCTGTACCATTTATTTCACCCACCCGGCCCTCTTTGGGTCCTTCTTAAAGGAATGCATAGCTTAGATGTTGCATTTTATTTTTTATTATGTGCAGGTATCTTGGAAAACTTTTTTATTCCATAAGCATAGACAACTCCTAATATCTCCATTCTTCCCTCCCATTCCCCCCGGGTTTCCTCATGTATAAGAATAAGTAGAGCCAACAAGCTTGTCGCCCTTGGGAGCTTTGCCTGATTTAACTCATTTAATCTTCAAAATTGCCCTGTGATGTATGGTTAGGAATATCCATTTTACCAGAGCAGGAAGCAGTGTAAATGAGCTGCTGTGTGCTTCATTTGTACGTATGTGTGTACACCGATGTCCACCTGCCTAAACATTGACAGCTTAATGACCCCAAGGTCATGGCTAGCTGCTTGTTCTCTCCACTCCGTTGGGTCGTAGGTACCCCACAGTAGGATGGAGCCTTGGCTATTGCTTCCCCAGACTTTGAGGTTATTTTCTAAACATGGTTTTGGTGAAGATCCCTGCTTCTGTGTCTGTTTAACTAAGCTGGGGAGGTAGATGCTGGGGCATTGGCTCTGGATCTGTCAGTTATAATAGATCCTACTAGTGGGCTGTACCAGTTGATACATACATATTTTATTCACAAACTCCACACTCTGGAGAGCCTGGTGTCATGTGCAGTTTCTGTGCCATCTGCAGGGGTTCACTTGAGGGCTGCCATATCTTCGCTGGGCCTGGTCTGAATTTTGGAGATGACGTAGAATCACTGGAGGGAGGGGCCCTGGGCAGGGTGACCCTGAGTGCATTTTCTATCTCTCTGACTCCCCCTACAGGGTACTTGGTTCTCAAAGAATTGGGCATTAAGGTGGAGAAGTATGTCGCCTCCGAAGTATGCGAAGAGTCCATCGCAGTTGGAACTGTTAAGCACGAGGGCAATATCAAATATGTGAATGATGTGAGGAACATAACCAAGAAAAATGTGAGGACAGCCTGTACTTCTGGGGGCTCTGCAACAACCTCCCCCCACCCCCACCCCCAGTCCCTAAGCCCCACACATCCTCACAGCCGTGTTGTCCCCTTCCCCATGTCCAGGGTTGTGGGAGAAGAGAACCTGTGATCATATCAGGCAGGTTCTCTTGACAGATTACCTGGAACACAGGCTGTCAGTCCCCTCCATCCTCCCCTAAGAGTGACTGTTTTCCTCTCACAGATTGAAGAATGGGGCCCCTTTGACTTAGTGATTGGTGGAAGCCCGTGCAATGATCTCTCAAATGTGAACCCTGCTAGGAAAGGCCTGTATGGTGAGTGTCCCTTCTATTCTGGGGGCTCCAAGAGACCCTATGTTACCTGAGTGCCGGTCCAGGAGGAGTGGCCTGAGAAGGAGCAGTTTGCTTGTGGCCAGCCTTACCTGTCACCCGTCCATGCCCCATTGTGAATCCCCAGTCCCCAGAGATACTTAAAAACATTGCGCTGCCTGATGCCTGTGGCCTTAGTCCAGAGCATTGCAGATGGAGGTACTGTGGGGCGTCAGCTGTCGCCAGGTGATCATTAGGAACCCATTGGTTTTAATATGGACCAGTGGGCTGAAGGGTTTGACCCTGGCCATCCATCTTCTTTTGTGGGCTCAGAGGGCACAGGCCGGCTCTTCTTCGAGTTTTACCACCTGCTGAATTACTCACGCCCCAAAGAAGGTGACGACCGGCCCTTCTTCTGGATGTTTGAGAATGTGGTAGCCATGAAGGTTGGTGACAAGAGGGACATCTCTCGGTTCCTGGAGGTGAGTGAGGGGACCTACAGTCCTGATTGTCAAGACTGCATGGGCGGAGAAGGGCCCGTTGGCAATGGGGGTTGGTGGGTGTTGGAAGGGATTTCCGGGTTCTTGGCAGAAGTTATGGTTAGATCCGAGAGTAATGGAGTCAAGTGGGTTGGTTCTCTTTCATACATGAAAAACATTTGATTTCTCTATCCTCACCCTGAATACAGTGAAGTCAGATGATGAAACCATCATCTACTTTTGGAGGCCTCATGAGATTCGACGAAGCTTTTTACTCTAGAGAGTTTTTTCTCCTTGTTATGAGAACTGCTGTTGCTGTGTAAGGGGCCACGGACATGTTAATTATCCACAGCTTAATACAAGCATTGTCGTAAATACTTTCTATAGACTTAACTCACTTAATTTCCCCCCAAACTTGGTAGCTTCAGTTTTGCTAGAGAGATTATAGAACTGGTGAGTTAGTTTTCCTCATGCTTGTGAACCTGGCAGATGGGTGGTGCAGGGCATGTTTTGCCAACACTGCATTCCTGCAACCAGGAGCTCGACTTGCTAGATTTTGGTTTTGAGCTGTTTTTACCACCTGTAGGTAGCACATTCTGTAATAAACTGGCATGCTCCAGGGCACACTTTCTCAGAACCTGCAGATTCAATCTGGCCTCTTTCCACACCATTAATATGTGGGCACTAGCTATGTCCTCCGGCCAGCTTTTCGACAGGAATTGACCTGTCCCCCGGCTGTCAGGAACCATACCTCTGCCACAGCCAAAGTGCAGCCCTGTCACCCGCCTAGGTCAAGCCTCACTCTGGCTGCCACCTGAATTCTGACGTAGGCTCCCAGCAGCTGTCCTTCTCTGTCTCTGCAGTGCAATCCAGTGATGATTGATGCCATCAAAGTGTCTGCTGCTCATAGGGCCCGATACTTCTGGGGCAACCTGCCCGGGATGAACAGGTAACAAGGGGCTCCAAGTGGGACAGGTAACAGCCAAGTGAAATATATAGCTAATGGTTTGAGCCCTGAGCCTTGACTCTGTGAGACAGAACCATGCTTGAGTCTTCTAGAAGGAGCTGGTTCTGCTGATAAATGGCCCCACTCGGGGCTTCAGACCAACCACTGGTGTTATGGGTTGACACCTGTTAAGATGTACAGCAACTACCTGGGATCCCTGGCCAGGATGCCTGTCTATTTCTACTTATTCCTGCTCTGCCCACGGGGCTGGTTCTTACAGTGCCACGTGCTAGAGCAAACTGGGTGTCATCTCCCAGCCAGGGATACTGATGCTCTGCACCCCAGTTGCCTGTCCCATTGGGAAATGCAAGGAAACTGTTAGATGCACCTTTCTCTCTACCCCTGAGATGAAGTGATCCCTGGCACAGGCCTGTGGTGATCAACCAGGTGGCAGAGCTGAGATGACAGCTGATAGCCCCAAAGCCTATCTGTCTCCCTTGGATTGTCTTAACCAAGAAATTTCCCCAACTTGTCATCAACCCTTTCATATAGGAAGTTACAAAGCGACTTGCTGAGGATTAATTATCTTTTATACATGGTTTCATGTATGTGGTGTGCGAATGAAGATACGAAATGTGACGGTGACGCAACATCCCAGACTTGCAAATGAGTTAAGCTTCAAAAAATTATCCTTTAGAAGGAAGCGTTAGAATCATAATAACTCTGACATTTAACAAAAGGTGGACAGGTGAGAAGGTACTGGAGTAGCTTGAAGGATTTCTTTTGGGTATTGTGCATTTTTATTTGGCTTTGTCAGCCAGTCAGATGGTACAGTGTCCATGTATGCAGTGAAATGGGTTCATTCAGTCCACACTCAAGTTCTCACTCTGTGGGAGGCACTATTATATATACGTGCATATGTATGTGCTGCCAGTTTAGTGGTGAACGCCTCAGACGTCTGGTGTGTTCTCATGGAATTGACATGCTAATAAGGGGACTGTTAAGACAGTAAGTGACCTCAGGGTCATGGCTGGAGTGAGACATGGGAAGAGTTAATGGGGGGGAGGGGACTTCTTATTACAGCAGGGCCCTGAATGAAGGAGTGGAGCCCTCCAGTTTGAGAGTAGAGCACTCCAGGCCAAAGGAAGAGGGTAAAGGGGATGACAAGGGTATCAGGACATCCGCAGACCAGTTCAGATGACAGACAGTGTTCCTTGTTTGTGGAGTGGTTGGGAGACAGGAGAGCAGAGAACTCAGAAATACCAGCCAAATTATGTGGGGCATACGGGTCATAGTACAATTTATATTTGCTTTGGCATGGGAATTCACGGGAGGTTTTAAGCGGAGCTGTAAATTCATTTGCTAGAATAGACGATATATGGAGGAGGGCAGAAATGGGGAGAAAAGGGAGATGGTCGTCCTTCAGAGGAGGAGGGCCGGCTGATTATTTTGTGGTGACCCAGGAGGTTGCATCCATATACACAGTGCATCCTGGGGGGAATGTAACTCAGGGGTCCTGTGGAACCTAGCAGGAGAGATCAGATTCTAGATAATGTGAGGGTATTAAGATTTGATGGTGTGTTGGATGTGTGGAATGAGATGAAAAGAAGAGTCAGCAAAGATGCCACAAGGTTTTCTGCCTGAGTTGTGATAAGAACCAAGCTGCAGTGCTATGTACAGAGGGTGGCAAAAAAATGTATGCACATTTTAAGAAAGGAAAACTGTATTAAAATTATAATACTCAATATACAAGTATACCGATAACAAAAGATGAATACAAGTCACGTTTGACTTCTGCAATCACAAGAGGTGCTCAAAGTGGTTACCATCAGTGTCCAGACACTTCTGATTGTGGTGGACTACTGTTTGAGCAACATTGATCAAAGTGTCCACTTTATACATTTTTTTAAAATAAAATAATTTTGACTATAAAACTTTTATAAACATTAGCTTATCAGTTGTATACATTTTTTTGGCATCCCTGGTATATAGCTGGTTCTGCAGGGTTCTAGGATGATGACTCAAGCATCAACCCAGGGGTCACAGACCTAAATCCAGTCTATAGGTCAAAAACTAGTTTGTTTAGATCTCAGTCCTAGAATCAACATAAGGTAGAGCTGTGCTGTGTCCTTTTCCTCAGGTCCCTTGATTTCATGGAAGAGCTAGCTGGGAATTGGGATAGGGGGTGGCATTGGGGACCTGGAAGGTAAGGTCAGGGAAGTCTCTGACAGGATCTAGGGGAACATTTGCAATTCAGTGGCCCTGTTTGTGGGCACCGTTTTCTTTTTTTTTGAATTTTTATAAGAGTTTTATTTCAGCCAAACTGACAACATGTCAGGGAGCAAGATCTCAAATGCTCCCCCATTCTTTTTTTTTTTTTTTCCCCGTTCCCCAGCCCCCTCCCCTCTCCCCCATTCTTAAGTCTGCTTTCTTTGTGACCTTGAAGTTCCTTACACAGGAGCTGCCGAGGGGTTGATTAGCTCTGTGCGTTCAGAGCTCTTGCTGGTTTTCTGCTCTGGAACTGCTCAACTATTGTACTTTGGTTCTAAAGTCCTACTCACCCCTCTGGGCACCTGTTTGCTTCTCTCTGCCTTTGCAGGCTTCAGTGGTGAAAGTTACAAGGATAATTAGAGTTTTGTGAACCGCCTCCTATCCTTCCTTCCTACCTGTACCCACTTTTAGTCCTTAAAGCCTCCAGAGGCTGCATCCCCAGCAGTAAGCCCCCAAAGCATGGGTTTGATGTGCTTGTGGTGGCAGCCAGAACCACCAAGACCTGATACAGGTTTCTAAGACATGAGGCCCAGAGAGATGGCGTGACTTGCTCAAGGTCATCATTCAGCCAATTTAGCAGTGGGGTTGGGACTGGAGTGGTCTCCTGACCCCTTCTAGTATGCTTCCCCATCCCACTCTCCTCAGTGGGAGCCTGGCTTTGACTAATGTTAAATTTTGGGAAGGGGAAGCGTTCATTCTTGGACATTGGGCTACCCTCTCAAGGGGCTAATCTGTCCCTATCTTCAGCACACAGGTTCATGCCAGTGTCATTTTCATCACGTATTTGTAGCAAGTCCATTGCCAGAGCACATTTTGCAGCCTTAGGCCCTCACTCCCACCTTGGGAGGTGCCTAGCCAAGGCCCCTTGACAGATGGTAGAAAGTAATGGGTTTTGGCTATTCCCAGGCCCGTGATAGCATCAAAGAATGATAAACTCGAGCTGCAGGACTGCTTGGAGTTCAATAGGACAGCAAAGGTAAGATGTGCTCACAAACGGTCTGTGGGAAACGCACTTGGTGACCTCCAAAGCTGGAACGTGACCTTGGTGTCTAGTTTGTTCCTGTCCCCTCCCCCCACGTGACTCCCTGGTGCTGGGCCTCTTTCCCTACAGAATTGTTCTGTCCCGTCTTTCAAATTCAGAGTAGGAGAGGTTCTTGATAAAAAAAAAAAAATCACTGTGAGAAAAGGCGACTAGACTTTCCAATTATGAATGCACATGCTGTAGAGCAACATAATTTCAGCCGGTCCTCCCAGTGAGAAATGAGTAATTAATGTTTTTGCAAAACAAATTATCTGCTGATAAGTCATAAATAATTATATTAAGACCTCCATATATAAATTTAATTCTTCAATGTTTATATCAAGCTAAGTTCCATCAAAACCCTGATTTGGTTGACCAGTCTATAATCTGGGTGGAGTTTTACATTTTGCTTTAATTTTGCTTGATTAGTAACTCTGTTGTCTTGCCACCCACGTGATCTAATTCATGGTCACTCTTTTGTTTATCTCTTGTTCTCTCTGAGGCTGGTCCTTCCCGTGAACTCCTTGGCATTTGTGGGAAGCACAAAATGTTCTTGTCCTTCCAACACTGCTTTTCTAATTCCCTCTGCGAGCCTAGCCCTGCCACCTTTTCTCCCCTACCTGCCCTGCCCCCTCCATCTTCTCTAGGGCTTCTGAGCCCTCGGCTCAACCCAGAACCCTTCATTCTGTGCTTACGCCGTGATGTCATTTTGTTCTCCAGTTAAAGAAAGTACAGACAATAACCACCAAGTCGAACTCGATCAGACAGGGGAAAAACCAACTTTTCCCTGTTGTCATGAATGGCAAAGAAGATGTTTTGTGGTGCACTGAGCTAGAAAGGTGAGCGAGGCTGCATGTGGAGAGGGAAACAATACAGACAGAAAGGGGAAGGTGTGGTTCAGGCCAGCAGCACAAATGGTCTTGCTTGCCTTCATTCTACATGGACCCACTGACCACACCTATGTTAGTCGGGCTGGGAATACCTTTTCAGACTTCGTCCTTATTTCCTGGCAGAAATGGTGGAAGGGTGGTGATGTTGAGGAATCTGAAACATGAGGTCATTATACAGCACCATCTGTCTGTGTTGGCTGCCCTGGCATCTGCCTGCCTCAACATGCTGGGACACTAGGATGTAAGAGAAACCAGCTAAAGCAAATCTCACTGACATGCCATTGCTCTTTCTCAGAAGATTTCTTCTGCCAAGTTGCTCTTCTATAGCCGATTCGTACTTAGTCACAGTCTGCATTCTCCCTCTTCCATTTGTTTGGCTAAGTTGGCATCTTAATCTATTTTGATTTCAAAGAACCAGCTCTTAAATTTCAGTTCTAATTTGTGTTTCAATTTTTTTTCTCATTCCTTTTGTTTTGCTTGCTTATTTTGTTTTTATTTTTGTTAGAATATTTTTGCTAGAAATGTAAGAAGGGCTATGAATATGCCTCTACATTTTTGTCTGTGTCTTGAAAGATCTGATAGAGTATCTTCATTCCAGATATTTGTTCTACAATTAGTTTTATTCTTTACTAAACAATAGTTTTCTTAGTATAAAAGCAAGTTTTAATTAGTGGAAACACTGATGGGTAACCTTGCCTATAAGTGCTGTGGATTATTCTGTACAGTTGACCCTTGAACAACACAGATTTGAACTGTCCACTAATACGTGGATTTTTTTTCAATAAATATATTGGAAAAATTTCTGGAGATTACAACAATTTGACAAAACTCGCAGATGAGCTCTGTTGCCTAGAAATATCAAAAAAATTGAGAAAAAGTTAGGTATGCCATAAATGAATAAAATATATGTAGATACTAGTCTTACTTTTATCATTTACTTCCATAAAATATATACAAATTGACTGTTGAGGTAAAGCTTCCAGTCAAACCTACTCTGTTATGTTTTAGGGGAGTCAAAAGTTATACTTGGATTTTCCACTATACAGGGGGCTCTGTGCCCCTAACCCCAGCATTGTTCATGGGTCAACTGTATTTTGAGACCCAAACCTAACATGCTGGGCTGGACCCGTGATAACAAGGGTTGGTGCAGATGGCTTGTCATGATGTAGACAGAGGCCCAAGGTGTTGAATCTTTGGGATGTTTCTTAATACCCATTCAGCCATTGACCCCTTGGTGTGATTTTTAGCGTTAGAGGGTAAACCTGGGTAAGAATGAGGACCTGTTATCTGTAGCCTCTTACCAGGCCTGGTAAAATCTTACAGAAGAGGCTGTTGGTATATTCGGTTGCCATCTGCCATTGACTCCAGTTTGGCCCAACTTGACTTAGCATTGGGGTTTGAAGAGGGAAAGAGAGCTCAGCACGCTTCAGTGTCCTCACAGTAAATTAGCTGAGCTTCTGGTGATTGAAAATAAGGTTCATTTTTGAGAGTGTCTTTGTTCCTTATTAAGGAAATTGCCTAACTTCTCCCATCTTGTGGTTTGAAGACAGGTACAGGTCTGTCTTCTGGCTGGTCTTGGTACGCATGCAAGCATTCATTCATTTATTCATTCATTCATTCGGGAAAGGTCCACTAAGCACTAACTATGTGTGAGGGGCACATTGCTGGTGCTGGGGATGCACATAACGGGAGCCCTCAGGGAGGAGCCATGCCCTCATGATTGTCATTTGTGTTCTGAAGAACCTGTGGACCTGACCTGGGGTCAAGAGGGCTCATGCGAGGGCCCAGTGGGCTTGATGTAAGGAACAGGACAAAGGACAGAAAGAGCGGTGCTGCGTTGCCCATGGCGAGGATTCCCCAGAGGCACTACGCTTGCAGGAGGTGGCACTTCTGACTCCTTGTCTTTTTACTCTGGTGTCCCCCCAGGATCTTTGGCTTTCCTGTACACTACACAGATGTGTCCAACATGGGCCGCGGTGCCCGCCAGAAGCTGCTCGGGAGGTCCTGGAGCGTGCCTGTCATCCGACATCTCTTCGCTCCTCTGAAGGACTACTTTGCCTGTGAATAGTCCCCCAGGCACGCTGGGGCACTGGGGTGTGTGGGGTGGAGCCGGGACCCAGGAGGTGCATCCCAGGTTCTGTCCTCCCCTCAGCTCAGCTGTGTGGGGTCACACCACGTACCTCAGCGGGAGCAGAGCAGCCTGACCCGCTCCTGACAGGGGGAGCCCGAGGTGCCGCCTCCTTGTGCACAATTCAACCTGGCCATTCGGAGTGGCCAAACACGGTGCTCATTTTGTCTTCTCTTAACACTTTAAAACTTGAAGTAGATAGTAAATGGCTTTTTTTTTTTCCCTCCTGGGTTTACAGCTCAGAAACAATGGCTAAGATACCAAAACCACAGTGCCGACAGCTCTCCAGTACTCAGGTTAATGCTGAAAAATCACCCAAGACAGTTATTGCAAGACTTTAATTTTTTTAAACATCTGCGGCTCCTTGTTTCCAGGAGTGCGCAGTGGTAGACAGGTAGCTAAGGGATATTTTAAGGGCCCAAGGATGCTTTTTTTCTTAGGGCTAGCAGAAGAGGAAATGATGTCTATGTCTTGAATTTTACCCAGCACAGTCTCCTAGTCTCAATATAAAGGGCTGGGATCCGCCGATGGACTGTTGAGTATTTCCTACACCGATGATGATTTCAGCAGGGATGACATCATCATCACATTCAGGGCTATCTTTTCCCACAAACCTAAGGGCAGGGCTACCCTTAAGCTAAGTCCCTCCCAGTGACTTGCAATAGAACCCTCCGGGGAAGCTCAGGAAGGGGTGGGCTTGGTTATCAGCTGCCATATATTATGAAGGCAGGTATGGCTTCTCACGAACGCCCTCTTCCCCATGTGAGAGGAGTGAGGGGGAGGCTTAGGTAAGACCACCCCCACCCCCAAATGCACCCTCTAGACTTCCGCAGGCACAGATCCCCAGATAAGAAGTAGGACACCCTAATTCTTCAGCCTTTTCTCTAAACTCGGAAGCAGTGACAGCCAGGGGCAGAAGCACATTCCTCACACTTGCCCCTCATCTAAGAGATTGTAGGGGGAAAACTACAATAAAAACTCGACCCTCCAGAGATTTCAAAGTCCTTTTTTTCCCCACAATAAATCACTTTGATAAGTCGTTTTTAGGGATAACGGAGGTTAGACAACCTGCATTTCAGAAATGCTGTCGTATTGGTTTTTAACACCTTTTACTCTTACTGGTGCTATTTTGTAGGATAAGAAACAACATTGACAGGTTTTATGGGAATTTTTTTATACACTTTTAAAAATCTCAGACTTCTATTTTTATGTTTTACCATTTTCATAAAAAAATTTCTTGTGACCAGAGCCACGTAACAAGTATGGGGAGGGGGGGAAATCGTGCCTTGTTTCAACAGTTTTGCTAATTTTTAGGCTGAAAGATGACGGATGCCTAGAGTTTACCTTATGTTGAATTAAAATCAGTATTTCTCTATAACAGTGTGGTGTCCCTTTTGTTCTTTGCAGGTCAGATGGGTGGGGCATGGGAGGGCCTGGCTAACATGGAAAGGTGGGTGGTTGAAGTAGGTCAGTCAATTCAACAAGCACAGTGCAGGAATGCCATGGTGACTCCAAGCAAAACAAAGTCCTAGTGCCTGGTCTCCAAACTCCAGTGTATTAGCATCCCCTGGGAGGCTTGTTAAAACGTGGAGATTTCTGGGTTCCACCTCAAGTTTCTGATTCACTGAGTGGGGTAGGGACAGAATTTCATGTTGCTGGTCCAGGGACCACATGGTGTTAGTGAATGGGTTTCTAAACCTTGGCTTCCAAAATAAGTGACTGGAGTGTTTGAGTTCAGAAAGGCTTGATGTCTGGAACATGTATCTCCAGACAATTTCTTACAGCTCTTGGGTAGCTGATCAAGAGGATTGACTTAATCCTGGGGCTGCTTCTCCCAGTTTCTTATTCCTTTGTGAGACTCGCCAGCACCTTGTTACACTGCTCCCAAGTTGTCATGTCACAATTCTGACACATTCAGGGAGGGGATTTGGCCCCAGGGAAAGGAATGGCTGGGAGTGGCCCATGTTTCCAACAGCTGCCCTTGGCTTCAGCTTTTTGGGTGGAGCCTGTACCTGTTGCTCTTGCAAGCCTAACCTTGCAATTCCATCTTAAAGTTTACCTGAGGCCAGCCACCCAGCCAAGGCAAGTGTCCCAATCTCAGCCCATTATGCTGTAACCCTCATCTCAATACCTTTAGCCCTTGGTCAGGGAAAAGGGGCCCACAAAGATTTCAATACCTCTCCCGAAGTTAATATTGGTTAGCTGGTGCACGCAGAGGGAGAAGTGTGTGTAGGGGGACCCGTGTGTAGTGTATCAATTGAACATCAGTTGGAGTTGGCAACTTGCTTGGCCTCTTCATCTGTAAATTAGGTTCTAATCCTAGCCACCTCCATGATGACAGTTGTGTGCCTAAATGGTTTGGCCCAGAGTTGGAGTGGAGAAGGAGAAACCAATTGTTTTTAGATGCTGCTGGGCTAGAACAGCCCAGGTGTGAGTCGCCATGGTGAGACAATTGGCAATTAGCAAGCTGGGCTGGCACTCCTCTCTGAGGTGTTGAGACCCCAGGGGCCTTGGCTGCCCTGTTAAGCCATCTTGTGAACAGTGCTGCACCAAATGCCAGGACAGAATGAAGCAAAATAAACAGCCCCGGCCTCAAAAACCCAAAAGAGGAGATGGACTGGCCTTCCAGGTGAGGGGCCCTTGGGGGTCCTGGCCTGCTTGTGGGGCAGGCTGGAGGAGACATTGGAGGGGCTGTGGGGTCAGTTATGTTTTCTCAAGATGGCGAGGTTTGGATCTGAGTGATCCCAGGCTCAGTGGCAAGGGGAGAATGTGAGGAACATTCCTATCTGGAGTAAGGGGTTGGAGTTTGCATTCCATGTAGACTTTCCCTGAAGCAAAGTTTCCTGGGGTCTGGCATGTCGCCAGGGTCACTTTGGGGCAGGTAACTAGGAGATTGTTTTAATCTCAAAGTTGGGGATCATAAATCCTACCTACATCCTAGGGCTGCTATGCATGTTCAAAGGCATGATTTAGGTAAAGTACTTTGCCTGGTGCCTGGCATGCAGCAAGCCCTCACATGTATTGGATGGCATTGTGATAAGTAAGGCAAGCCATTAATCAGTGCAGTGTTAATGATTGGGTTCCTGTAGTGATGGTAGCATCCAATATTCATGAATGTTTTTTTTTTTTTTAAAGATTTTTATTGGGGAATTGGGGGATGGGAATAGCACTGGGGAATTGGGGAAGGGGAACAGACAAGTTGCTGTTCTTTTGTTCTTCAGTCTAGTGGAGGACGTTGCTTCACTGGCCCGAGTTGGCACCATTGCGCTCTTCCCGGGCGAGGCACATCAGTTGCTGGCTTCTGGATGGCTGCTCACTGCGGTTGCTGGCCACTCATGCTGGCTGCTGGCTACACATGGTAGCCCATGGCAACCCACTGCAGCAGGGGCTGCAGCCCATGCTGTCGCTGGCGACTCAGGGCAGCCCAGCTCCAGGTTGAGCTGTTGTTCAGCATCTTAGCTGTAGAGGGCAGTGTCACTGGCCCTCATATGTGAGATCTGAATCGGGGCTCTCTGGCGTCCTCAGGAATGTATTTTTAATGTATTAAAGTCTTAAAAAGAAAGGATGGTAATATTCTCCCCAGGTGTTTCATAGGAGCTGGGCGATAGCAATAGCAGCGCCTGGTATTGAATTTGTGTCTGTCACCGTGCCCCACATGTTGGGGTCCCCTTGCTCCTTGTTAGGGAGAAGGATGAGAGTGGACACAATCTTGCCTCGGGGTGCAGGGACTGGCCTCTGGACAGTTCCATGGCTGTTAGGTGGGGGATCAGTGCCAAACAGACATGGTCTCCCACTTGACCTCAATTTCTCTGGTTTTCCTGCCAACTGCTGCTTGAGTGATCCTCTGTTTCAGGCCTGCATCTGGTCCTTGATTCTTTTCTTCAGCCTGACTGGGTGCCCATCCTGGCTTCACCCCCTCCTGCCTTGTATTCTTGGGTGTGCGCCATAGCCTCTGCCTCAGTTTACCCATCTGTAAAATGGATACTATCAATTTAAGGCCGACGTGTGAATCAAATGATTCAGTATATGTGAAGTGTATGGAAGCGTGCTTGTGGGTGGTAAATACTGAGCAAATGGCATCTGCTTTATTGATGTTGGAGAACCCTCCTAGCAACCCTGGAGTGAAGCTGTGATGATCATGATTATACGTAAGAGAATTGAGACCGAGAGCTCCATAACAGACCCACGGCCACATAGCTAGTGGCAAAGGAGTTGGGAGTTGGAATCCGTTTTGTGAAGCCAAGGTCTGCTACTGTTTCTCCTTGGTCTCACCTGCATCTATTTATTTTTTATTTTGTGTGTGAGTGTGAGTGTGTGTGTGTCTTTTGCTGGAGCTTGATTACCTGCTGCCCTTTGTAGCCTGGGGTGCAATTTGCCTACCTTTCTTGGCTTCATTCTCTTCTCACTTTCTTCCAGTCTACCTAACCTCTTCCCCTTCCTGTTTTCTGCCTTTTTTCCTTTCTTCTTTCTGTTTAACTTTATTGATTTCTTACATTTTTAAATTTTAAATTAATTTCAGACTTACAGAAAAGTTGCAATAATAGCACAAGAATTCCTAAACACCCGAATTCCTCAAATGTTAACATTTTGCCACATTTTTTTTGTCGTCCTATGATTTTTTTTCTGAATCATTTGAGAGTAAGTTGCAGACATGATTTCTCTTTACCCTTAAAATCCTTCATTGTGTATTTTGTAAAGACCAGAACATTCTCTTACATAACTACAGTACATTTATCAGGATCAGGTAATGAACATTCATTCACTTATATATCTAGTCTATAGACCTTATTTAGATTTTGCCAATTGCTCCAATAATATCATTATAGAGGAAGAAAAATAAGTAATATAATAAATGTGCATATAGACTAGTATCTATTCCAGAATCACTGTACTTGCTTATTTATTTTTAAAACTTAATTATGAAATATGTAAATAGCAGTGTATAAATCCTGGCACTTCAGGCCTTATTACCTACGCTGCTCTCTGAATGTTGGTTCTTCCTGAGCTCTCAGCATTGCAGCAAGAAAACAGGTTGGCAATACTGGAGTTGGTGACTGCTTATTCTGGGTCTTTGCACATGCTGTTCTCCTCTGAACAGCCTTCTGCCCCATGCCTGACTATCCTCCGGTCTCACCTCTTCCAGGACGACTCCTTTGCTCTCATTCTAAAGCAGGTTTAGGAGCCATTCCCTAATCCTGAGCCCTCCTTCCAATGTGGGTAGATGGAAAGCTCTATCCCAGCACAAAGCTCTCTATGATAATTTCTTATTTTTGTAGTTGTCTCCTTCATGAGCTTGTGAGGTCCTTAACACAGCTGAGACCTCCCAACACCATTTTACAGTTCAATAAACTTGTCATACATTTGGAAAATTCAGGCCTTGAAGCCAGTTTTTTTGTTTTTGGAGAGGAGACTCACAATTTCTATCTGTGATGATGAGATTAATTTACATGTTAAAACAGTTGCTTAAAGATGCTTATGAAAATCTCCAAAGCTATTTCTCCTGCTGGATTGAAATCCTTTTTTTCTTTTTATCCTTGCTTAATCTGACCCAGGTAACCTTGGCCAACCCCCTTCTCTGGGAAGAGTGTACTCTGAGCAGATCACGAGCCCCTCTCTCACCTCTTTGGGAGGTGTTTCCTGGGAGGGTAGAAGAGTTTTACTTCTGAAATAAAAACTAGGGGCCAGGTCCAAGCTCCTAGTTTGGCACTTGAAGCTCTTTTTTACTTGGCTTTCTCCACTGGTCTCATCCCCCACACGAATGTCCTGACCCCTAACCATAATGGACTTTAGGTAATGCTGACAATAATTAATTGACATTATTTGAATATTGACAATCAAAAGGGTCTCAAATCAATAACATTTATTGAGCACATACTAATGTGCTAGGAGTGGTCTAAGAACTTTACACACATCTCATTTAATTCTAACTCTTAGCAGAGTCAGTATTTGAATCCAGACCTGCTGGCTTTGCCACTTATGAAATTCATTTAGCCTGTCAGAAATAATGTCCTCATGTATAAAGTGAGGGTAAGGATATTCATAAGTGCTTTTGAATATCTTTACTTGATTATCTATGCTTCATATCAACCCGCTATAATGCTAATATAACTACTATTGCTATAATCACTTGGTTGGTTACAGGGCTCTTTGCTGTATCCTCTTGTTTGCCCTCTCCTACCCCAACCCTTTTGCCAGGTTAACACCTCATCTTTTAGAGCAAGTATCATCTCTGGGAAGCTTTCCTACACTACTCAGGTGAGGTCAAGTCTCCTTGTGATGTACTCTTGGAGTGCTACATTAACAGAGAGACAACCAGCAGTACTGGCGTTTAAAATATTGACATGCCTCCAGACTGATAAACAGCTCCTGCCCCAGATCCCCACCCCTATTTCCCTGAACATCTTCCCAGGCTTCAGCAACTAACTGGGTGAGACCTGGCCCAGAAGGGGCCTCCAGGACCCTATTTCATGCAATGCAGGTGCCATCACCCTTGCCACATACCGTCGCTCCTGCCTAGCACTAAGTCTGGTTTGTAATTAAACAGTGATTTGTGTCACTAGTTATGTCCTCTGCCTCCCCTGCTATATTGGAAACTTAAGAGCTCAGAGGCTCTGTCTGGTTTTTGCTCGCCATCTAATCCCTAGGACCTGATGACCAGGGAAAATAAAATATTTGTTGAACACATAGCTAGATCAGGAAACTAGCTCGAAACCTGGATCAGCCTCTGATGCTGAGCCAGTCAATTGACCCGAGCCTCAGTTTCCTCTTCTGTAAAGTGGTTGTAATTCTTTCAGCAAGTCTCCGGAACAGGACTGAGACGATCCTTGCTCTCATGGAATTTACAGAAAGGCAGACATTAAAGGTATAAACAAACAAAATGACTTAATACGGTGCTAACAAGAAAATAAATGGATGATGAGATTACAGGGTCATTACAGCTAGTGGTCACAGAATGTCTCTGAGATGACTAAGTCTTTCCTTAAAGCCCCTGTCAAGTATCTTTATTATCCAATAACCGATTTTTGTAGAAATTCATTGTAAAACCAATTTTTGTTTTTTGGCTACGGGGTGGAGAATTTGTAACTGGATCCCGCCTTCTAGGCGGAGTCACACCGGGCCGGAGAGGGGATCTCATGGGCTGCGGCAGAGCACGTGGCCTCATCGCCCTGGCAGTCGGCACCCCGCCCCTGGGCGCCTCAGCCATCAATCAAGGACCGGGCTCCGCCTCCTGCGCGCGCTGAGTCTCTCTCTATAAAAGGAGCCGGCGGGCTGTGACTAGCCTTTACGTCGACGCGTAACGAGGGGGTGCGTGTGAGGTCATCGCGCGGGCGGGCGGGGTCGGGCGGTTTGAACGAGACGAAGACGGAACCGGAGCCGGGCAGGGGCAGTGGACGCGGTTCGCCTGAGAACCGGTGAGCCGGTTAGCGGGCGCGGGGCGGCGGCCGGGGGGCGGCCAAGTGGGCCTCGGGCCGGGCAGGCGCCGGCGGGCTCTGCAGGCGGTGCGGGGGACGCTCCCCACGGCGGTACCGTTCGGGCTGGGTGGGGGAAGGGCGGGGCTGTGACCCGGCGCGCGCGGGCTGGGGGGGTGCGCGTTCCTCTTTACTGGGGGGGCGGGGCTTCGGACCGGAAGTGGGGGCTGCCCCACGGCGCGTGGGGACTTTTGGGCCTTGGCCGAAGTGTGGAACCTGGACAGCGGTGGCAGGAGGTTCCGGGGTGGCCAGCCCATATAGGGGGTATGTATAGTTGAAGTGGGTCCTGCTGTGACCTCTAGAGACTCCCACTGTAGGAGGCAGTGTCTCCTGACGGTAAGAGTTCGAGTTTTGATTGAAACCTGGGTTTGATTCCCTGCTGTGCGACCTTGGGCAGGTGCTTTTCTTTCTGGGCTTCAGTTTCCTCATCTGTGAAATGGGGACAATGATAATAGGCACAAAAAGCAATCCAGCTTAATGGACTCCTTCCTTCATTGGGTATTCGTTGAGCGCCTTGTAGGTGCCTAGGTACTGTGATAAGCGCTGGCTATACACCCAGGAGCAGGAGGGCAAAGGCCTGCTCTCCAGGTGTCTACACTGTGGTGGGGAGACAGGAAATAAGAAAATGTATACACGGACAAGATAATTTAAAATAACTACTAGGAAGACAGCTGCCCTGCGGTGTTACGGGGCAGAGCTTGGCCTCTGCCCCATTTGGGGGATGAGGATCCTGAGGCTCATTGAAGGAAAGGACTCCAGGCCTGGCATCCACCTCGAATGGTGTGTTTCTAAAAGTAGTAATAATACTACTTGCTAATTGGGTACTTGCTTTGTGCCAGGCATTGTGTTAAGTGCTTGATGTGGTATTAGGTCATTTAATATCACACTGTCTCTAAGAGATACTGTCTTCATTTTGCAAATGAGAGGACTTAGATTCTGGGAGGTGAAGCGATAATGCTTTATGCTGGCTAGCAAGTGGCTAAACCCACATCGTGACTCCTGAGTCCAGGCTCTTAGCCTCTATATTAGGCTGCCTCTCTGAGGTCCAGACTTAGCATGCTTCATACCATTTTGCCGTTGGTGGTGTGTCAGAGTGACTTGCACAGTTTCTGGCACATAGGGAAGCTTAGGACATGATGTACTTTTTTTTTTTTAAGATTTTATTGAGGAATCGGGGAAGGGGAACAGACAAGTTGCTGTCCTTTTGTTCTTCAGTCTAGTTGTGGAGGATGTCGC